GTTTCTTTGGTAAGGCTCGTTTACACTTGCGAATGTTGCAGTGCATCAAGTACGGCAAAGAGAACGAAAACACTACTTTGCATAGCAGGCATAGTGCATAGTACCAATAAATATCAACCTTAATTTACTTGTGGAGTAAACGCGTCCTCACTTTGATAGCAGGGGATAGCAGTCACATGGCAGGCTATAAACACAGAGTTTTTTATCTTTCTGCTAAATAAAATACTTCCAATCGTCAGTTTGTCCTTGGTAGAATTCTGTTTGTATTCCTTAGATAAGTCCTTTGTAGTTTCAGAGCCTGTATATGCTAGTTCGCGATACTAAGACAATTCTCGATGGACTGCGATCGATAGACAGCAAAATAAACTTCACTGTTTTACGWTAAATTCATGGTATCTCTCCAAATGCCTTTTCGAAAAACKCTCTCGACATTTTTTAGCGTGACAATACCGCGAATGGTGTTCTGGATTTGTAAGTGATTTGAGCGTATAATTTGAAGTTAAAGCCATGTCTTTCGATCATCTCGTGTACACTCTCGCCACCATGAAGATAGTACATGATAACATTCGTACCCAGTGCCTTCTAGTTTGGCCGAGACAATTTGTGTACCAAATACTACCATGACAAAGAAGGCCGAAACCTAAACTCGCGGTTCCTCTGGAACCCCGAGTAAAAATGACGAGATTTTAAATCTAAAAGGCACAACTAAGGGTATAGGATTTATTCACTTGGAAACTCCAATTTAAGGGTTCTATAATCGATTAATACAAATACATTAATACATTACTTATATAAAATTGGCATTTGGGGRCCGGTAAAACGAAGTAAAATTACATTAAAACTTACGAAATCGTAAGCAAACCCGCACACAGATAATTACTTTCCAAACTGAGTAAATTTTCTAACTGAACGGACGACTAAATTGACTTACTAATACACTAGGGACGTTACAGAAAAACTAATGAAATATAAAACGAAAGGAAATAATACTCCAGTTTCGAATTTATAGCGAATAACCGCTGCTTTATTTGACAACAGATTCTCTTGCGCAAAGACTT